CAAGTAGATACCTCCTCACCTCTCGGGTGAGAACTGGTAGCTCCTCCCTGTTAAATGCACATCTCAGTGCCTCTTCTCCAAGTAAGTTTTGCAATAAAAGAGCTGTCACTGTGAACAGGTGGGAAGAAGCGAAAGAGCTTGTTCACTTGCTCCTGTTGCTGCTGTGGCCCAGAGACAGGACACCAGACAGGTGAGAACTGTTTGTCTTTCTATTAGGAAAGATTCTGAACTGAGGCAATGATTTGCATTGAGTCCTGAGGTTTTGTGGTTTCAGAAACCTGTAATCATTAAAGTATTTTCTCTTGCTAACTGCTTCACCACTAAGCTGTAAAAGCTCTTTTCTTTCTTTTTTTTTAAAAAAAAAGGAAAGAAAAAGAAAAAAACCTCCAAACTTCCATCAAAGTTGCTACACTTTCAGATTGAGACACGCTTCCTCTTTTGCAAACCTCAGTTGTGTCTGTGGGCAGGGCCACAGTGGAGCTTCCAGGAGCAGAAAGACTTCCAAGGCAAAGCATTACATCACACTAGAAACTGGGGGCAGATCAATACTGAGATGTGACAGGCACCAGAAGGCTCCCTCCCCAAAGGATGTTAAGAACCAAAGCTGACATTTCCTCTACTTGGTAAGTTTTGTGTGGTTTGGTGCCTAAAGCATATCTAAGAACAGGTATGATTAAGATCAGCTTTCCCTTACTTGAAGGGCTTGTGGTTTCAGGTCTGTGGATTGGAAGTTGGGAGAAGCATCCAAGTGGAACTCGGGTCATATGAAGCTCACAGCCGTGTGAACTACAGTGGGTATAGTCCACCAGGCATTTGGAATAGACTTGATTTTGGAATGCAGTGGGTCTGATTGCTGCTTGGCAGATTCCCTTTCCCAATTATGTTTGGCTTAGTCTGGTAGTCAAATTACTTTGCAATCCCTAGGATGATCCACAAAGTATACAGAGGGGACAGAGAGAATACTGTCTAAAAAGCAGACTAGAAAAGGTGGTAGGAGGGTTTGGGCTGGATTTTCTAAATGTTCCCTGAATGATCACAACCCAACCCCCAAAAGGTGACTTCATATTACATGCTGGCCCTTTGTTAAAGCCAAAATGCTGAATATAACATGCTTCTTTAAAATGCTGGTTAATTCTATTTTTGGGGGGTGGGGAGACTGGCCAGTTTGGAGATCTAAACCCATGACCTTGGTATTATAAGGCTGTGCTTTAACCAACTGAGCTAACCAGGGAGAAATTGGATAAGAGGCATAAAGAATAAGTATGATTTGTAATAATGTATATGCTAATAATATTTATTTAATCAACATACATCAACATTGAACCCCCAAAATATGGATAATCAATTATGATTCAATAAAAAATAAAATAAATAAATAAAATAAAATGCTGGTTAGTTAAGGGCATTGTACACAATTTCAATTGTTTTGCTCTCTTTGTGAAGCTCAAAAAGATACATTACAAGTGTTTTGAATTGATTTGATTAAAAACATAAGATTTCTCATAATGAATATATGTTNATTCCCTTTCCCAATTATGTTTGGCTTAGTCTGGTAGTCAAATTACTTTGCAATCCCTAGGCTGATCCACAAAGTATACAGAGGGGACAGAAAAGTCTAAAAAGCAGACTAGAAAAGGTGGTAGGAGGGTTTGGGCTGGATTTTCTAAATGTTCCCTGAATGATCACAACCCAACCCCCAAAAGGTGACTTCATATTACATGCTGGCCCTTTGTTAAAGCCAAAATGCTGAATATAACATGCTTCTTTAAAATGGTGGTTAATTCTATTTTTGGGGGGTGGGGAGACTGGCCAGTTTGGAGATCTGAACCCATGAACTTGGTGTTATAAGGCTGTGCTTTAACCAACTGAGCTAACCAGGGAGAAATTGGATAAGAGGCATAAAGAATAAGTATGATTTGTAATAATGTATATGTTAATAATATTTATTTAATCAACATACATCAACATTGAACCCCCAAAATATGGATAATCAATTATGATTCAATAAAAAATAAAATAAATAAATAAATAAAATAAAATGCTGGTTAGTTAAGGGCATTGTACACACTTTCAATTGTTTTGCTCTCTTTGTGAAGCTCAAAAAGATACGTTACAAGTGTTTTGAATTGATTTGATTAAAAACATAAGATTTCTCATAATGAATATATGTTGTGGTTCAAAGAATTTAGAAATCTTCATGAAATCTAGATTCAGTACTCTGCATTACATCAGTAAACAAACGCCTTGATAATTTGAGTTCCACAATACAAATGTGGTGATTCCACCAAAGTAAAGCTAGAGTTTTCCTTTTTGTAATTTACAGAGGAAGTATTTGTGTGAGATTTGATACTTTAGGCAGGCAGAAGGGTGAATCTACTCAAGAGAATGAACCAGTTTTTCTAATGGCTTTATAGAATTCACTATTAACATGAGAAAATATTCACAAATTATTAAGTATCTCAGCCATTTATTAAATTAAGAAATAAAAATAGAAATATTTTCAAATTGAAAAAACCTCCAAGCTGAAGGGCCTTAGGTAGGAGGTGTCATGAATAGAGTATTACGTATTCAAAAGGTATTAAAGTTCAGGCACCACAAATACAGTCTGGTCAAATTCTACCTTACCAAGTAGAAATTAATTGAGTTTTATGATATAAAGGTTGAAATATAAAAGAATAGTAATATAGTAATATTTTTAAGCCTCTATGGTGTAATGTCTGGAAAATTTCTTCCTTTCCTTTCCCTCCAAAGCTGAAATGTCAGATGGTGATGTTAACTAACGACCAACAATATTGAGATTTAGCTATTATTTTAATAGTATGTTTTTGGTAAATTGAAATTATTGCATGGAAAATTATTAAGCCATAAATTTTCCAAGATTTAGTCATATGTCAAAATCCCTGTTTCCTCTTTTTTCAAGTCAGTTACTTCCTTTCTCCAAGTTCAAGATCATCTGTAAGACAGAGGTGATAACACAGGTCTCACAAGGTTTTCTGGGGGATTAAATAAGGTTAGTGAATAGAAAGTATCAACTGAGTGTCTAAAACATAATAATTACTGAAGAAATAATCTTATACACACACCTCACAGATATACACCCATGCATGCAATTTGCATGTTTCTTTCACTTTGATCATTTTCTGATTCTACCCCTTAGAGGCAGGAGGTCAGACACATTAGTGAATCCCTTACCCTGAGGAAGGGAAGATGGAAATTAACAGACACCACATTTGATAATATAGGTCCAGGCTATTCTTGACTTCCATTACTAAAAACACTCAAGGGTGAGTAATGCAGTAGATTAATCAGCCTTCTTGGGTGTATATTACTAATCTGCTACAATTTTAATTTTATATATAGTAACTATGAAGTTTCTGCATCAACTTTCTGTGAATCCCCTCCAAAGCCTATGATTCAAATTAGTTATAATTACCATGTATGGAATTTTTGCACTTTATTTTATTAGAACTATTTCACTTTATTTGTGTGTCCCAGACTGGCAAACCTATGTTGAGAGCAACCTCTCCCACCACCAGCAGAGTGGTCTGGGACAAATCAAACCCAACATCTCTGAGCTTCCATTCCCCCTGCATGTCTGATAAGGGCATTGAACCCAGTAATATCACAGGTGGTTTCTTTCCAGCTCT